AATCATTATTATTAAGTCTTAAGTACCCAGGGACATAATGAAAGCAGTACTCTGGAATCATTCTTTGGCAACCACATGTAGCAATCACGGAAGCAGGAATGAGAGTTAGAGCCAGGAGCCTGGCTGGAATTGGATCCGGTAATCCAGAGGCAGAACGCATCTCTCCAGGAGGCTTGTGGTGGAAATGGACAGATTAGAAAATACAGGCTTCCTTAGTGAGCTCCTAGTGTGCAATGGAACGGAACTCATTTTACAGCAACCCACCTGTTTTACAGCCAACGACCAACCTGCAAGAGTGTGGGTTTTCTGCTGTGCTTATGGCCAAGGCTGTGGCCAACAGAGATGATGTATGTTAGAGCCGGGACTGTGCAGTGGAAATCCTAAACTGCTCTTTAAATTTGATTTATTTTATTAATTTATTTCTGGCGCCCCCCCCCCCAGACGTCTTACTATGTAGCCCAGGCTAGCCTAGAACACTCGATCCTTCTGCCTCAACTTCATGAGCACTGAGATACAGATGCTTGTCATTACCCCCAGCTAAATGATCCTAACTTTTTTATTTTATTTATGAGTGTGTGTTGTGTGTGTGTGGATGTGCATGGCGTGTGTGGGAGGGCGGAATATGTGTGGAGGTCAGAGGATAACTCTGGGGAGTCAGTTGTCTAGGGATCCAAGTCAGGTCTCCAGGCTCTCTGAACAAACACCCACCATCCCATCCACCCTGATTCTTTTTATCTTTTTCCTTTGAGATACTGTGTTATATGATAAAGCTCATGGTGAACCTTGGCGGATTCCATGGCTGGCGAGGGTGACTGAGGCAGGGGACAAACATGCCAGGCAGACAGAGCTCAGTGAGTTTTATTGGAAAGGGGAGGGGGGGGGGAGGAAAGAAAACAGAGGTAAAGAGACACAGAGACAGAGAGAGGACAGAATAGAAGAGGGAGACAGGAAACGTCTCGTCTGCCCCAGAGGACAGTGGGGGGGGCATAAGTGAGCTGGGGTCTTTCTTTTAAAGGGTCCTTTGCACCTGAGTGCAGACTACACAACCATAGAACCCTGGGCTGACCAGGGTATTGCCTGAGTGCATTCTGCCAGGTGACGGGGGCAGGACAGCATAAAGCCTGAATCATTACACAGGAGAGCCATGTACCTCTGAGCTCCAACTCACCATGTAGGGGAAATGACCTTGAACTGATCCTTCTGGGTTTACCTCCGGAGTGCCGGGATTGCAGGTGTGTGTATCCAAGCCTGACAGGATTCAAGATGAATACACGTGACCAGAGAACAGATACCCTGCCTAGAGAGGATGATGCTGATTCCAGGGAGGTTAAACCAGGTCACCTCCAGAACATCTTCCAGCCCCACTGTGCGGCTGCTGTACACCACAAGTCTAAAGAATTCAGTATGAGGAGCATTCTCAATGGAGTGGTGACACTTGCGAAATACCAGTTTGGAGTCTTCCTTGACTAGGAATTCGAGGGGCAGCTAGATTGAGAGCAAGTATTCTATTCCCTTCCTTCCTTCCTTCCTTCCTTCCTTCCTTCCTTCCTTCCTTCCTTCCTTCCTCTTTCCTTCCTTCCTTTCTCTTCTTTCTCTCTCTCTCTCCCTCCCTTTCTTTTTTTTTGTTTGTTTTCTGAGACAGGTCCTAGAACTGTGTAGACACCAGGCTGGCCTCCGCCTGCCTCTGCCTCCCAAGTGCTAGAAGTATTCTATTTTCTAACAGAGACCAGAAGTTAGGATTGGGATAAGCAAGGGTGAGATATAGAAAAGGCACAGGCATGAGATGTTGTTATCACTCTGCCAGCCCAGGTTTAGAGGTTGAGGAATCAAACTGGGAAGGCTTAGGCTTCAGGCAAATTAGTTGAAGGAGGACCTGACTCACCCTCCCCGCCTTACCTTAGCTGATGTCCATTTGCCCTGCCACTAACTGAGTTTCTCAAACTGCTGATACTGAGCCAGGCATATAGTCCCAGAATATGGGATGCTTAGGAAGGAGGATTACAGTGAATTTAAGGCCAGCCTGGTCTACATTGCTGCATGAGGAATTCCAGGCCAGCCTGGGTTACAGGTAAGACCCTGTTGCAAAACAAAACCAACAGGAAGACTGGGTACTCGTGCTCTTCATGTGGATTTTAGAGAGAAAGTTTCCTGTGCCACAAAGGAAGGTGCCACAAAGTTAGATTCCAGGCTGCAGGGAGTTTGTTGCTACCCTGGAAGTTTAGGGTTGTAAAGTTTGCTTGGAGTCAAGATAAATTCGGGATTGATTCTAACAAGAAAACTGGGGCTAAGGAGAGAGGATTCCTGCTGCCTCTTCCTGAGGCTTTGCAAGGGGAAGAGGTGTCAGCAGAACCCCAGCTGAGGTTAAAACCTAGGTTTCCTTAAATGTTGGCTGGCTTAAAAAGTCTGCCAAACATGACCTGGGCATTAGGTACCATCGCCTAAGGCTTGCAATTTGACTTCGGAGCCTACACACTGATTATATTTTGGAAGCATTCGGCAGCCAGAGTGGAACAGGAAATCATTACTGGATAAAAAGGGCCACACAAGAGGAAGTTTTTATTGGCAAATAGCAACGCATGTATTCACAGAATCCTATCATCATAGTACTAGAAAGAGCTAACCCCGGCCTTACAGAGGCTTCTGCTAAAAGGTGCCCAAAGAGATAACCGTCTGTCTTTTAACGGCTGCCCTCGAAAATGGGTTCCAAATGCCACTGCTGCTATCTTATTAGTTTAAATCCAGTTTCTCTCTCTCTCTCTTTCGGTTATCTCCTCTGTGAACATGGAAAACAGTTATCATCTTTCTTTCAAAACCCCTTTTCACATTCTAGAAGGCTATCATTACACCTCCCACAATGTTCTCAGCAACCGATGGAATCATACATACTCGTGTTTCTGACATTTATTGAGTCTTTGGAACGCACCAAAAGTGTCACATAAATTATCTTATTTTGCCCCGACAAAAGGCTGCGAATCAATTATTTTTAGCCCCAATTTGAAGGATAAGGAAGCTGACACAGGGTTCAGAGGTTGACACTTCTCAAATAGTTGGAAACGTAGAGGAGGCAGGCCTGAAAAACTGCCTTTCTTAATGGGAACACACCAACCAGATTGGTCAGTCAGCCTGTTAGAGGCTTGATGGGAGACCAGGCGGCGGGTGGAAAAACCTTACTCCTTACAGGCGCTTGCTTCCCTTTCCTCTATGAGCCCTTGTTGTCCCCAAGATCCTCTTTCTTTGCCCAGCCAATTTCTTTGACTGTTGGAGGTCTCACTATCTTTTGTTGGACTCACTTAAAAATGTGCCATTTGGGACAATATTCCAATGTGATGACTACTTCCACCAAGCCCGATGAGCTGAATTTGACCATGGGACACACCAAGTGAAAAACTGATTCCACGTTATCCTCGGACCTCCACGCATGTGCTGTGGCATGTGTGCACGCCCATCCCCCACGAATAAATAAACGTGATCTAACCTAAAACACATGCCATTCCTGTCACAGTTTTCTGTTCTCTTGCTCTCTAAGAAAGAAATATCTTGGGAGTTGGAAGTATGGCTTTTTAGTGCTGGTCTTATTTAATTTTTTATATTGCACGAGGCAAAAGCATCCTATAAAGAGGAAGATGGGACTTTGTGGGCAGAGCATCTCTCCCCAATCTGTGCCCTGAGTTCACTGAGTGCCAATGAGCTGTGAACTGCTTGGAATCAGGAAACTTGTGTTAGAACCCTGAGATTTGGGGTCGGAGGGATAGTTCAGTGGTTAAGGGCACTTGCTGCTCTTCTAGAGGACCTGAGTTCAGTTCCCAGCTCCTACATCAGGCAGCTCACAACCATCTGTAACTCTGGCTCCAGGGGATCTCATGCCTCTGGCCACCACAGGCACTTGTTCCCATGTGCATATGTGCACACACACACACACACACACACACACACACACACACACACACACCTGTTTACATTCAAATAATCAAGCATATGAATATTTAAAACCCTGAGATTTGCCAGCTCACCTTGGGAAGTCATCGTCATTTTGAAGTCTCATCTTGGTAAGATGGGGGTGATATGAGTATCTCGAGGGGCTCTAGGTGGTCCAGGGGTGAGATTAGGTGGCTGCTTTGTACAGATCTGGGCATATGTGGTAGCTATCATGAGTAGAGCTTTCATAACTGTTCTGTTTGCTAGTAATAGGTTTTCTTATGGCATTTTCATACGCAGTTCAATTTGATCCATCATCTTCCCTCCCAACTCTTGTCCCCATTATTTCTAGCAGTCTGCCCCGGTAGTCGTGTATTCTATTGTTTTCTCTTGCTCCCTGACATAGAAACTCCTTCTTCACCCTTTCCAGATCCCCTTTCTAGCTCCACAACCTAAATGCACACTTATACCCACGTAAAGGCATGGCCTTATTATTATTATTATACAGACTTTTACTATGTAGACCAGGCTGGCCCCAAACTCTTGGCAAATCTGCTGCCTTAGCCTCCTCAGTGCTAACTAAGATTGTAGACATGAGCCACTATTCCTAGCTTCCATTCTCCCATCCTTCACTGTTATTACCGCTGTCCGGGGTCGGCCCTCTACCTGCTGTATGGTAGCCTTCACTCGCTGACCCCCTCTCTCTTTTTCTTCCTCCCAATACCCCTTGCCCTCAGGAAGGTGGATGGATGCCACAGTGCACATCTTTAGTGCAGTCCTCACCTTCCACCTTGTTTGAAATGGGGACTTTTGTCGCCTAGCTTCCCCAAGCACAAATACGAAACTTATAATGCTTCCAGGACTACAGATATTCACAAATGCATAATAAAAATCGGAAGTCAGCCGAGTGGTGGCGGCGCACACTTTTAATCGCAGCACTAAGGAGGTAAAGGCAGGTGGAGCTTTCTGAGTTCGAGGCCAGCCTGGTCTACAGAGCGAGTTCCAGGATAGCTGGGGCTACACAGAGAAACCCTGTCTCAGAAAACAAAAACAAACAAAAAAAAGGAAACAAAAATGATAGTGGAGTGCTCATTTCGGCAGCACATAGACTAACACTGGAATGATACAGAGAAGTTAGCATGGCCCCTGAGTAAGGATGGCATGCAAATTCATGAAGCATTAAAGAAAGAAAAAAAGAAAGGAAGGGAGAAAGAAAAAGAAAAAAGAAATGATAGTAGAGATGTTGGATGGGTATTTTTCAAAAGCATGAATTTCATGCGGCTTTAGAATATAATTAACCCCCAAACTATTGCGTTTTGCCTAACAGCTATTCATGCCGTCGCATCGCCAGCAGTCTTCAGAGGCTTTACCCTCTAATTCTGTTTCTTCTTACAGCCACTTTGCCTCTCCTTTCCCTGTCTTCCCACTGAGAACACAACCGTTGGCATTTTTGAGAGGCAGGAGTTAGCCAGCTAATAACTTTGTAATTATTGCATGGGAACTCACGAGAACTCAAGGACAGTGGCTTCTGTTGAGGACTTTAAGTGAGCACAGTAGGGTTTTATAGACTGTACTTTGCTCTTGGTCCTGACATGGGGCTCAAGTAAATGCTCTGTAAGTCCCTTGGAAAGCCCAGTAATACATTTCCCTGCCTAGGGTTTCACTTAGCTCCCTTTGAAACACGGACACGCCCACTTGCTTCTGTGATGTCCTGTCCTTGCTTTATGAATTTTCTTCTTTCTTGAGCTCTGGATTTAACGTCCCTTTCGAATTATTGTAGTATCCCAGGCACTCCCATGGCTAGCCCTTCCTTTATAGAGATTTGGTGCATTCTTCTCCTTAGGCGTGTCGATAGCCTCTTGTGCTGTATGTGTGACAGTAGACTCATCTTTGATGTGACAGTTAAAATGAGAGGGTTTCCTGCTTGCTTGAGCTGTGATTCTCCAGGAATAAACAAGAGTAGTGTTCAGAAAGATTGACTGGGAAGGGAAGACCAACATTAGACATTTGTGAGCCTACCCCATGAGCTAGGGTTCCAGACTGAATGAAAGCGAGAAAGATGTGAGCCCACGGCTCTCCATCTCTCTTTGCTTCTTGGTTGCTCATACCAACTGACCAGTCCCACAGCTGCCGCCATCTGTCCCCCTCATGGTAGAACGCACCTCTGCCTTGGGAACACAAACTCTCCCTTAAGGTAGTTTTGCTCCAGCAATGAGAAAAGTAACACGTCTTCCTTCTATTTTCTGGTCCTCTAGAAGCAGACTTTTATCAAATGCTTTAGCTGATTCATTTGGAAGTTATGTGCATTTCATTAGATTAACCATTGCAGGCTGTGGCTGCAACGAGCCTTTTCAACTACTGTCTACCCACTTCCTGCTCCAGAACAGGATACGATCGCCCTCTGACCATTCTCAAACCCCCCTCCCCGCCCCCGCCCCGTCTCCTCATCTGCCCTATAGTATAATTTGATAGAATCCTCAGCATTTTCCAAATTAGGACTTCATAGCAAAGTGGATATCATTGCTCCGTAGTTAGGTGGTACACGGCATTGTTTGCCTTTCCTCAACCACTTAGAAAACGTCAACGGCGTACATAATTGCTTTGCTCTTTATGCTTTACTCTTACAGTGTAGTCCAGGCTGCCGTCAAACTCCCTGTGTAGCCCAGGCTGACTCCAGTTTCACAGTAATCTCCCTTGCTCAGCCTCTTAGTGCTGGGATTGCAGCATGAACTCAGTACCATGCTTAGTTTCTTTGTGTGTGTGCGCGCGCGTGTGTGTTCACTCTCGCAGCATGCATGTACAGGCATGTATGTGTATGTGAGGCTGTTTTGCTCACTCTTTATCTTTGGATTTTGAGACACGGTTTCTCACTGAAGCTGCACGCTTGTTAAGCTCGGGGAACCCTCCTGCCTCTGCCCCTCCCACACTGGGGTTCTAAAAGTGTGCTGCTGTGCCCAGCTTTTCTGGACTGGATGCTGGGTTCTGAACTCAATGTTATGATACATGGCAAGTACTCGATCCACTGAGCCACACCCTCTTCCTGTCCCTTTACTTCATTTCCCCACTCATGGGTTTCCTCTGTCCTCAAAGGGCTCCCCTATGAGATCACTCCAAGGCATCAGAGAGTGGTCCTTTGATCTGCAAAGAGAGTTGCAAGACAGCTAGGGCTACCTAGAGAGACTTTGTCTCAAAACGAACAAACGGAAAAACAAAAGGCAACTCACTAATTTGGTTTCTGTTTCTTACTGCTGTCCCCAGAGTTCTTGGAAGTATATTCTACAATCTTTGATGCCTGCAATTCAGTCAAGGTTAAACGTAGTAGTATTTCCAAGATTGACTAACCTAGAACCCGTGCCCCAAGCGCTCATATACTTTGATTTAGAATCTTAGAGTCTGTATGAAAATGAGAACTCCATTTCTTGACTAATTCTGGTGTTTCTCATCATGTGTGGCTCATCACCACCATTATTCTTCCTCTTTTTCTGAGAGTGAGTGTAAGACACAATTCAGTCCCCGTGCCACAGTAGCTGCTACAGAACTGGCTGATATGCGACTGAAGGAAGCAACTCATCTGACACTAGCAGGCAAGCGCTATGCCTGAACCATGTCACTGATCCATTACATTTTACGGTATTACTCGAGATTTTTGGCTTGAATCTTTTTCTTACAGAGGCAAAGATGAATATCATAAAATCCCACTGTGACAATCTAGGCTTTCTTTTACTGCTTTCCTGCTCTCTGCACTCGCTAACAGGTAGCTGAGCTTAGCTATCTGTTGGAATTCATGTCTGGGCTACTGAAGTAACTAAAACACAACAAAAGGGCTAATGGGTTCAGTGCTTGCCTAGCATACACGAGGCACTGGATCCCCAGCACAGCATAAAACTGGGTGTAGTATTTAGTTGCAATCCCAGCACTGGGAAGGTAGGGGCAGGGGGATCAGAAGCTCAAGGTTATCCTCAGGTCATATAGTGAGTTCCAGGCTAGCCTGAGCTGCATGAGCTGCAGTCTGCAAAATGGAAGGAAATAAAGAACAACACAATTCAATACAAGCAGGGCAGTGGTGGTACATGCCTTGAATCCCAGAACTCTATGAGTCCGAGGCCAGCCTGGTCTACAGAGCAAGTTCCAGGACAGCCAGGGCTACATAGAGAAACCCTGCCTCGAAAATCAAAAACCAAACCAACCAAACAAAAACTACTGCACAGAAGAGAGCACTTTGAGACTGAAGAATTCTGCAAAGAGCCTCCTGTCCGAGTGCATGCATCTGAGTGAGTTTCCCTCCCTCTGAACCTGACTAATGAGGAAGTAGAAAACGGTGGCTTGGAGCACACACATAACCACATAGACTTGAGTTTAGTGCACTTGCTAATGAGAATTCCTTGCATAAGATACTTCATCTCTAGGAACTCCTGTCCCTCCCTTGGAGAGTAGGAAAAGCTACACCTGCCCTGCAGCTTACTGTAAAGATTTAATGTGATAATGTATGGAAACCATGAGGACCATGACTGGCCCGGAGGATGCTCTTCCAGTTAGTGGTTGGTATTTATGGTGTCTTTTCCTTTCAAGATAATGAACATCTGGCATCATCTGCATTCCAGAAGTTCCAATATTTTCTAGCTGCTTGTATTGAACACTGTAAGAATTTTGACCCACATCTTAAGTATATATTTGGCAGCTCTGGAAAGATTAGTTGGTGATACTAATCTTTTAGTTGTTTTTGTTTTTGAGACAATAGGGTTGGGAGAGAGGGATCAGGGAAAGCTTACTCTGTAGCCCACACTGGCTAGGAACTCACAAGGTAGCCCACCCTGACCTCAAACTTCTAGCAGTAATCCTATTTCAGCTCCTCAACTAATTCCCAAGTACCTGGAGTACAGGTCTGAGCCACCAGGCACATCTACAACATAGAAACATCACAGGATAAAACACTAAGCAGGTTTTAAAATGAATATAAACATATAAGCCAGTATCTTTCCTCACCCCAAATGCATTCTCCTGCTCAAAAATCATTTGATCCTTAATTTATATATATGTATGTAAATTGCAGTCATCTGGAGGTGGAGCAGGATGATCAGGTGTTCAAGGTCATCCTTGACTAGTTAGAATTTGAGACCAGTGTGGGGTTCCTATTTGAAAAAAAAAAAGTACAAGAAAAAAAAAAAATCTGTCAACTCTTCTCTTTGAAGAGCATTAAGAGAAAAAGGAGGAAAGGGCCTTTTAGAAAACAAAACAACTTAGTGCCATAGCTTCTCAGATCAGTTCTGACGGTTGCCTGTTTTCAGCTGTGTATATTTTCGTGAAATGTCACACACTGAAATGCTGAGCAGGTGCAGGGATGGAGAGAAATACACAAGCTGGCGTCTTTCCGTCAAGACAGAAAAGTGGCCAGTATAATTCCATTATGCCCTTTTCCCTTTTAATCTCCCCGGTCCCTGCTTCTGAGACGGAGTGGGACAGGAGGCCCTAAATGGCTAAATTAGGTAAGGAGGAAAAGCTGCGCTGGCCTAGTTAGCTTTACACTTCCCTATATGGCTGTGCTGTGCAGTAAGGACCTAGAAATACCTGTCCTGTCACTAACCTGTGATTCAATCTCTTGCTCCCTCCTTCCCCTAATATCCGAGTGTGCAGTCACTACGGTGGCTCCTTATCAATAAGAGACACCAGTGAAGGCTTTTGAGTCCCCAGTGTTTGGGAAACTCTTGGCCTCTAACTGCCCGAGGACTGAATCCACAGGCTGCATTCTTTACACACACTTCCTGGAGGCCACAGGCGCTTGTTGGGCTGACTGACTGCCGACCCAGAAGCAATGCCTTGTGCCCTAAGTCTTAACTTCTGGGAACTTTAAGTTCCATCAGATCTAGTCATCTGGGTAATAAGAACCGCGAAGGGGACAACTCATTCCCACCAACAGCAGTGGGGTTTGTCTGCAAGGCAGGATTCAACAATGGAAGCTCCCTCTCCCCTCAGAGGTCTGAGATGGTCTCTGACTTCCATCACGGCCTGCATGTCAAGTGTTACTCTGGGACATCACTTTGTGTACCAGTCTAGGATGCTTTTCAAAACTCTTAGGTTAGAAGTTAAGATCAAGAATAAAAAACAAATGTAAACTTCTACTTTTCTCTTAGCTCCACGGGGTAGACAACACCAGCATTCAGTATTTCGTGTGTTTGTGGCTAAAAGCAAAATGA